CTGTGCGTGAGTTGTTCGTAATAAGCGAGCCCCCCACACGACTCCAAACACACCTACACGTTGAGTTTGTCCTGATTTCCCATGCTTTCCAGGTCTTCGTGTCGTAGTCGCTTCTTCCCACCTTCAGTTCTGTTCTTTCTAAGGACTGTTTTGCTTGAGGGTGGAGGCCAGTGCAAACACGTCCCTCACTAATAGTCATGTCTATAGAGGAATAAATAAGTTTGCTCTATCGTTAGCATCTATGCCATGCTGCATCTAGTATTTCAGAACATCATTTTGACCGTCGACAGAGTTGGACTGGTATTTAAACAGCGTGTTGTTGTTGTCTTTTTACTTTAAAGATCTTCCTTTAAAAGCTTTTCAGCAAAAAGCAATTCAGATGCCAGTTTATGCAAATATAACCGTTTGTGGTTACAGCCATTAAGGCTCGAGGTTCAACAATTGTGTTGTCTTCCCTCTACAAGAGAACTAAATAGTTTAGTCAAAGTGGCACACATGCACTACACAGTAATGAAATCGGTGTATAGAATTATTGTTTCCTTGAACAGAAGAAGAAATACTAATACTAAACTACGTTGTATGTAAATGTATACTCGGAGGCTAAACTGAGCGATATCTTACCAGTTTGGTGAGGATCTCCGCTTCTCTGTCTTTAATACGCTATATTCCCTTCAACCAGACGAGCTAAATCGATTTAAAGTATGTTTAACCTCACATCTAAAAGGAATTATTCGTTAAAGAAATACAAACGGATATGAATAAGTGAGGCGGTTAACAGAAACGACCGTTAACTTTTAAATTGTGAGAACGCGCGAATTTCTGCAGGACTGTAGGGCGCGCGCGGTTAAATAGGGATGGGCGATACCCCTTATTTTGTTTTCGATACGATACCGATATTTTTCAAGGCAGTATCGTCGATACCGATTCGATACTTCTGCACTAAACTTTTAAATTATTAAATGTATTAAATTATTAAATTACTAAGAGCAAAATGGGTAGTGAAAACCACTTAACTTTGTTTAAAACGCATTTGAACCCGTTTAATCCCACATTTTTCCCAGACATGAAAATATCCAAATGATGTGTCATTAGTAACCCTTTGAAATAATCAAGAATTTGTTTTTGTTTTGTTTTTTTGAAAAAGTGTGTGAAAATTAGTATTTTATGGTCAGTCACAATTGTGAGCGGTGGGATAATGTGTATACTCAATTAACACATTTCTGCAGTCTTAAAAAGTGTTATATATCTTAGCCCAGCTATTTTAAACCGTTTGATCACATTCTAGGGTTACTATTATGCATAAAAATCACAGGAATACTGAGATCAAATACAAAAAAATACAACCATCAACGTATTTCAAAATTGTTACATATATCATCACATTTTTATATTAGTGCTACCAGTATTACAACATTAACATTCTAACTTATTTGTAACACTTTTGATTTAGTGCAATATTTTGTACTGCCAGTGAATGGCTGTTGCTTGCATTAAATGAACGTTGATTATCTTTCAACGTTCAATTTAAATAATTGTAATTGCACAAACTATGTAGGCTACAATTTCAATTTGTTTATTGTGAAATAACTCAAACACATGTTTTTTTCTCTTTCCTCTGATAAGCATTGTTCAGGGCTGCCGTTGCCAAAAGCTTGAATGCTTTCTTATGATGCTTTTGGGAAACGCGGCCCTGTCTGAATGCACGGTCAGAATTGTGATTGATTAATTCAGTCTTGCTACATTTGCGTGTGTTCAGATGAGCAGGAAAATAGTTCTATCCTGCACAATTACTCGCTAACAAAGGTTATTCGTCCAATTCAATGCATATTGTACGCATTATTATTATTATTATTATTGTTAAATAAACAAAACCACTGGTAAATAAAATGCACCTTAGTATCGATATGTTTGTTTGAGTTTCGATACTCGCATCAGTATAGATATATCGATACTTCGGATCGATACGCACATCCCTAAGTCACTAATGTCGGTTTGTTGCTAAAAGTTGTATGTGTTGGTTTGCATTTTGTGTTTTCGGGTTACAGGGTTACAACTTAACGGATAATGTTCTGGCAGAAAACTGTGGTTATACAAATGGTAATCAAATGCCCCCCCAAAAAAACCTATGGTTACTACACTTTTACTATATGGTTACTTTTTTAAGGGATTAGCAATTACAGATACAAGCTACTAACAAGGT